CCGCATGTATGTTCGTCCGAACTACTAGAATAAGTGTACTTTATTTGTTCTTCACATTGCTTTAGAAATATTAATTCACTTAAAGAAGAAAAGAGAAAAAGATCTTAAGAATCTTAGAGGCTAACAATTTTAGCATAATCTGAATCGGTTTTTGTTAAATATAATTTATTATTTATTTAGACAAAATAAAATTGACTATTATTTGTTCCAAAACTTAATAGTATAAATAAACTCAAGAAACTTGGAAAAGTAAAAACTCAAGAGGTTTATCTTGCGATAATGGGGTGACTCCATTATATCTGAGAAATATAGATTGTCTTTTGATCTGCTCCCACTTTAAAAACTAAAAAAGTATTATTCAATAAAAGACAACATCATTTGAAAAATCAATCAAGTGGACTAAACAGGTTTAATATAGTATAAAATAGCCATTTAGAGGATAAAACAAAAAGAAGTCAAATAAGATAGAAGAATCTTGACAAGAAAGCTAAAATAAAGGTTTGTAAAAACTCTTGCCTATCTTGGCGATGTGTGAGTATATTACAAAATAAACCTAAATTAAGTCAAAAAACAACAGGATTGTTTTATCGACTTTTCTACTATAAAGGAAAAGCATATACTCAACTTATTTGTTATATATTATATAAAAGGATTTTTGGATACGATTGAATGAATGGGGATCATTGAAATCGATAAACAACTATTCCATGTTACTGCATTGAGCTGGATCTTAATTATTTTACATCAACTCTTCAATAGACATTTAATAATTAAGATTCTTAACCTTTGAAAGCACATAGAAGCATATTTATTCTCCAGAATGCATTTTGAAATGTTAAATAGTTAAAACCTAAGTTTGATGATTTAAATAAATCAACAGGTAGCTAGAGAAATAGCCTGACCACAATATATTTATATTTTGATGATAGCAGGGGAATTATGTTTTACCAAAAGAAGTTTTTAACATAGGGAGGTGAATGGAGCAGAAATTGTTTGATGCTCTACGAACTTTCTTTTTTAAGTTCCTACAAATCCCTTTAAGTGACATTTTGTGAAAAATTAATAGAAATACAAAGGCTGATCTTCGTACATCATGCAACGCCGGTTTATTTTATTAGCAAAAACAATTGAATGCAATTAGATTATTTAGCAGAAAAAGTTCCATATCAATTTCCTTTTTTATCATAGCATATGTATTTATAATATTATAGAAGCATAAGTAAAGATGAATTAAAGATAAAAATTATAAATTTAGTATTGCAATTTTGATCTGATATTTATTTTGAAAAAGGGCAGTACTATGGTTCTGTTGGAAATTAACTACGGAAAGGGCATTTGTTTAAGGTTTTGATTGACTACCATTTTGCACAAGCAATTGATGCTTTTCTCCAGGGGATGGCAAGCGGATATGCTGGAAACGG